TTAAGGCAGTTGGGGTTAAGTGACTTGCCCAGGGTCAAACAGCTAGTAAGTATCTTAGGTCAGATTTGAACTCAGGTCTTCCTGACTCCAGGGCTGGTGCTCTATCCACTGTGACATCTAGCTGCCCCTGGGAATTTGTTTTGTCAGAGTATAGATATGTATTGAGGGATTTACCTTCTACGCTTGCTTTTTAGTATGTTTTTTCAATTTACCCAGCTCAAGGAAGGAGTCATGGGAGGTACAGATCAATTAAAAAATACTTAAAAAAAAAAAAGCAAAGAGAACTTTCAGCCACTGAACACCATTTTTTTTTCAATATGCTAACATGTTTCAGGGGTTGACAAACTCAGGAAGTGCAGCTAGGTGCATGCCTCCCATTTTCTTACTTATCTTCAATCTCTTGGTAACCATTTAAAGACAATTCTATCCTGCTGAGCCTGAAGATCATTCTGTGCAGAGAAAACAAAAGCACAAGAACCAAGCATTTTGGCTTTCCCTCTGTTGTCTGTCATCTCATCCCATTCACCCTGAGTACTGCTCCTATCCTTCCTATGATTAGCCTCTTACCTCCCAACATAGGTTAAAAGCAAGAGTTCTTTACCTATGGTTCACAGACCCCCCCATGGGTTCATGGATAGATTTCAGAAGAACTGTTTACCTGAATGGCAAAAAAAAATTACATTTTTATTTTCACTAATCTCTAACTGAAATTTAGCATTTCCCTTCAATTATAAATTTTAAAAAATATTTCAAAGAGTCCATAGACCCCACCAAACTGCCAAAGGGGTCCCCAAAAAATGTTAAGAACCCCTGGGTTAAAAGGGTTCTTTTATTGTACTTAGCCTACAGTAGCAGGCTCAGCTCAGTCTGACCTTTGGTGTACCTGACACTGTTCTTACAGAACTACACTACTCTTTGATGTTCATCCTCTTATCAGTCCTTTCTTCTATTTTCTATATGCCTTTTTAAAGTTTGCATTTGTCATTGAGTTCTCCATGCAGCCCCATCAGCTTTTTAGATAGTCTCCATTTTTTCTTTCTCATATGAATTATTTATCTTTGTGTCATCACAATTTCGTTTTCATCCTTCTTGGGTCAACTTCCCTTGTAGAATTTTAGTCTATGGAAGGAAAGAAGGAAGGAAGGAAGGAAAGAAAGAAAGAGAGAAAGAAAGAAAGAGAGAAAGAAAGAAAGAAAGAAAGAAAGAAAGAAAGAAAGAAAGAAAGA